TGTTGACCTTCACTGGCTTCTGGTCTCTAGAGTTCTTCAGGCATAATAGCCCCAAGTGTTTATAGCTCTTTTAAAGCAACCACTTGGCCTACAGGATAAATTCCAAGTAGACTTACAGCTCTTCCACACCCACACAAGAATAAATTGTGAGTAGATTTATAGGACCAATAGAGTAAGGCTTTATTTGAACAGGGCCTGTGCTGCAGCTCAGGATCAGTATAAAAGAGACAGCCACCTTGACAAATTGCCCAAATCTTAGAAGAATGCCGATTACATGGGAGTCGGTCCAAATCCGAGCCTGCCAGTTGATTCAAATGTATCTAAACTCTTGAGTCTTGTGATCCAAACCTGTTGATTGGTCCAAATTAAATTCTACTGCTCGATTCAAATTCAAGCCCAACCTGTATAAATATCGTATTGTCTCCCTAGTGTAAGAACTCAAAAAACATAAAAACTGAAAGGTATAACACAGTTAAATGGATGGAAAGAAAACTTAAGGATTAAATGATGAAGAGAGAGAAAGGAGGCAAGTTAGGAAATTAGGTAGGGGCAAAACAAGACATTTATGTATACAAGATGGATAAAGCAAAGATCCTAAGAATTTCCATCAGGTTTTTGAAAATAGCAGTTAATGGGTAGAATTCTCACCCTGACTAACTTTATATGTTGATTTCTGTGAACTAAACAACTACACTGAGGACAGCAAAGTTTAACATTAAAATCATGCTTGAAATATCTGTCATTTTGGTCTTCTAGTGTGTACTGTTTCTAATGTCATATCAATTACTGCTATACTCTCTTTAAAGTAATTTTATTTTGTATTTAGTACAGGGTCTACAAGGTCTCACTATGTAGATCAGACTCATAATGATCCTCCTGTTTACAGCCTCCCCAGTACTGGGATTGTAGGCGTGTACCACCATGCCCAGTCTCAACACTATCTCAGTGCACCCTGGGGGTGGGGCCAGCACAGCAGGCCTGGGGATCGAACCCCCACCGCTGCATCTGCCTAAGCAGGCACTTTAATCCGCTGAGCTATTTGGCCGGCTCTAAAGTAAATTTTTTATTTTAAAAAGGTAATAAAAGAAAATGAGAGACAGGAACAAAAATTTAAGACTTCTTGAAAGCATGTGGTAATATTCAATCAAATGTCCCATCTTAAATAACTATATCTGTTAATCTGAGCAACAGATTTGATGATAAAAATAGATAATATATCTATCACTGTTAATCAGCTATTCTAGTTTTGAAAAACTGTTAACATATGTATTTTTATATGTTACCCTGTTTCTGCCTTTGTTTTTGTTTTTCTTGATCTTGTATTTACTCTTCAAAATAAAAGAGAACTATAATAAAAAGTGAAAATTTGTTCAACTATTAAAAAAAATTCAAGCCCACAGTAGTAAGTGTAGACACATCTTTGAGTAGGTGTGGGGCATCCAGGACAGACACACTGGTCATGAAGAAATATGGGGACACATGGCTGCTTTATTGCCAGCTGCCACATCACTGGAAGTGGCAGACCCTAATTTGGGGAATCTTCAGGATGACTGGCTGTGCTAGCATTGGAGTTTGGTGATGCTGGAGGGGTCGACAATGGCTCCAGATCTTTCCTTTATCTCTACTAAGTTAGAGATATCATTGCCACTGCTTCTCCAAAGAGGCAGCCACAGCACATGAAGCAGCAGAAGAGGGGAAGGGAAACCACAGCTGACAGCAAGGCCCACCATCCTGTTAGAGCAGCCCAGAGAGTAGCTAGCTGCAAAGTAACCTGAGGGCTAGCAGGAGGACACTGAGGCAAACTGCCCGGTACATTCTCAGGGAACCATGGGGGATGCAAAGGGAAGTCAGTAGGAAAGGTATAACAGCTGTCACCATCTATGGCTGACACAGCAAAAAGGGGAGAGGTGGACACTTTTTTACTTACCTACACATGTAAAGCAAATATTAAAGGCTGGGGAGATAGTTCAGTGGCTTAAGCTCCTGTTTGGCCAGTGCAAGGTTCTGAGTTTAATCCCTGGTATCAAGAAAAAAAAACAAAACTATAACATTAGAGGTTGGGGAAATAGCTCAAAGGCATAGGAGCCTGCCTTGCAAGCACAAGGTTAATTCGATCCCTGGTACTGCATGTCATGCTGGCCCCAAAACCCCAGTGGGTAGTGCAGCCCTGAAACCCAGAGTAGTGGCATGCACCTGTAATCCCAGCCCTGGGGAGACTGAGACAGAAAGATCACTATGAGCCTGAACTGTGTAGTGAGACTTTGTATATAAAAAAAGAAAATAAATAAATCTAAAAAAATATTAATCTAAAGAAAATGAGAGACTATAGGGTGATAACAATAGATTTCAAGCGTACTAAATTTTCTGTAATGGACATAGCATTCAGATGGTAAGTCAATAAAGATACTTTGGACTTAAATCATATGCTACAACAAATAGATTTAAGAGAACCCTGCAGAACATTTTACCAAGTAGGTGCAGAATATGTATTACTTTAGCTGCTTAAAGATGTTCTTTAGGATTGATTATATTTTAGGCCATAAAACAAGTCTTCATAAATTTAGGAAGATTGAAAATGTAGTCAGGGTTTTCAAGGAAAACAATTTAATACAGGACACATAACTTATAGGATTATTTTATTACAGTCACTCCAAAAGTTAACTTGAAAAGAGTGCAGGAAATCTGTCCACACACTAAAGACCTAAAAAAATCCAGCTGAGGGCCTGGATCCCACAGCAGTGTCCTGCATGAGTCCAGCTGAAGACCTAGAGCCCATAACAATGCCTCCTCATGGGTCCAGCTGGAGGCCTACAATGATGTCTCATGCAAATCTATTTCAAGGATCTGCACTAAGAAGGACCCAAGGTCAGTGGTGGAAGCTAGAAAGTCTGTGACAGCAGGATGAAGGATCAGTCCTGGAGCCAAGAAGTGATACTCAATCTAAGAACCAGAGCTCCCTGCAAAAGTAGCACAACCATCTTCAGCAACAGTGAGGTCCTGAGCTCTTATAGTGATGAGAAAAACCGAATTCATATCAGGAAAGCCAACATGACAAGCTTCTCCAGGAGACCGAACAGTGTACCATCTTCCCCTCTGAAGCCAGGAAGTGATGCTTAAGATCAGAATTCCCCCGTAGTGAACCATCACCATTCTCAGTGAACCATAGCCATTCTCAGGACAACAAAGTCCTGAGCCCCTTTGATGAGAAAGGCAAGTTTGTATCAGGAAAGCCAGAATGACAAGCTCCTCTAGGAGCCCTAACAGCCCCCTAACAACACCTCTTCTTCTCCAGTTCTTTTTTTTTTTATTTTGTTGGCAACAATATTCTGGTGAGTCTTCCACATCTGGCACCACACTGATTCAGTTCAGCTGGGTGTTACAAGTTTACCACAAGTTGTCTATTTACCACAGAAAATATATCAAGCATGTCTTATAACAAGAAGTAAAACTAGGAATCAAAACAAGAAAGAATTTTA